CCCAGGCTTGGCACCAGGCCCTCAGCTCAGCAACTTTACCTTACTTGGGCCCATGGTCCAGTCACTGATTGCAGAGCTGAGGACATTGATCTTTAGGGTCACCCTGTGTTACTGCTCCTGTTCCACAGAATTCAGTTCCCTATCTTTGTTTTCCTTTGTTTCTGCTTTCTTTTTTCACTTTGAGATCTTCTTTTGCTAAAAGCATGGCAACTATATTTGTTGCAATTTCATCTGAATGTAGCTGTGTTTCAATGAAGGGGTCTTTCAGTGTCTACTCTATCATTGTGCTGGAAGTAGAAATTGAGTCTACCTTTTATCAACTATACTGGTATCTATCTCTTTCACTAGGCAGACAATCAAGTCTTTTTTGTTTTTTAATTCACAAGCTTTACTTTTTTAGAGCAGCTTAGGCACACAGCAAAGTTGAGCAGAAAGTGAGACCGGTTCCATTCTCTCCCCTATCCCCACATATGCACAAACTCCCCCACCATCACCTTCCCCCACCCGAGTGGTACGTTTGTTACAATACAGGAACCTACGCTAATACATTGTTATCACTCAACATCCCTAGTTTACATCAGGGTTCACTCGAGGTGGTATATAGACAATGGATTTTGACAAATGCATAATGACATGGATCTACCACTGTAATATCATACAGAATAGTTTCACCACTCTAAAGATCTTCTATGCCCTGCCTATTCACTTCACCCTCCTCCCTAACCCCTGGCAACAAGTTAACCTTTGACTGTCTCCATAGCTTTGCCTTTCCAGAATCTCATATGGTGGGAAACCTACAGTGTGTAGCTTTTTCATATGGACTTCTTTCATTTAAGTTTCCTCCATGTCTTTTCATTGCTTGACAGCTCATTCTTTTTAGTGCTGAATAATATTGTCTAATTGTCTATACTACCCAGTTTATCCATTCACCTACTAAAGGACATCTTCTTGCTTCCAAGTTTTGGCAATTATGAATAAAGCTGCTGTAAATACCTGCGTGAAGGATTTTGTGTAGGCATGATTTTTCAATCCATTAGGGTAAATACCATGGAGTATGAATACTGGATTGTATGGTAAAAGTTGTTTAGTTTTATAAAAAAAAACAAAACCACAAGCAAACAACAAACTGCCAAACTGTCTTCCAAAGTGGCTATACTATTGTGCATTCCCACCAGCAATGAATGAGAGTTCCTGTTGCTCTGCATCCTCCCTAGCACTTGGTGTTGTCAGTGTTCTGGATTTTGGCCATTCTCGTAGGTGCGTAGTGGCATCTCATTGTTTACATTTGCAACTCTCTGATGACATGTCATGTTGAACATCTCTGCATAGGCTTACATGCCATCTGTATATCTTCTTGAGTGAGGTTAAGGTCTTAAGACTTGGGTGTGTTAAGGTCTTTGACCATTTTTTAATGGGTTGTTCATTTTCCTATTGTAAAAACTTACAGTTCAGGTTTTTCTACCTTGGCATGGGTTACTATGGAAGTTTCTACTCAGATAAGTTGTGGTTCTCTGTATCAGCCTCTTTCCAACTTGTGGAGAAGTAGTTTGCCCTCTGACCTCACTTCTCTCATAGATCTAAGAAGAGTTGTTGACTTTTCAGTTTGGTTAACTTTTTACTTATTCTTCAGATCGAGTGGTAAATTCTAAGCTCCTTACATGCTGAACTGGAAACCAAAAGTCTGTTAAGTCTTTCTTATTTTTGTGTTTTTCAGGGTTTCTTATATAACTTTTGTATGTATTATGTGCTTAAGGACTATTGCTAAAATTTGTTGAACATCATTGGTAATAGCCTATATTTTCAAGCACTTTCTAACCACTAGTCATTATTCTAAGTGTTTTTACATATGTAATCCATTTAAACCTCACAAGAACTCACCTATAAGTACTATTATTATCCCCATTTTACAGATAAGAAAGCTGAAGAACAGAGAGGTTATAAGTTATCTTCCTCCAGAGGAACACAGCCAGTGAATGGTGAACCAGAATTCAAACTCAAAATATTTAAGAACCCATGCTCATAACCATCATGCTTTATGACCCAGCTAACTCTAAAAATCCTGATAGTATTGTAATCTGACTTAATCATGAGAATTCCAATAGTCCAACGGGTTATTTCTTCTCCTACTTACTTTGGAAACTGCCAGTATATTTCAATTTACCGCCCAAACATCTGAGGTTAATGGAAGAGAATGACTTTGAGTACACATTCCCTGTAAGTCATTACAAGAAAAGGATTATGTTTCTACGAAGCTCACACAGAAACTGATGCGCCACAGACATTCTCTTAGTTCCCAGAAACTGATGAAGGTCTTCCTCAGCCCATAAGAGATACTCCACATTGCCTAAAATGAATCTAGTACTGGAAAAAGATGTCCATGTTCCTATGAATAGAAACATGTATGCTATTTTCTATGACAAATTAGCACTGAGACTTGCATAAATATAATTTTGAGGGTACTAATGTTTTAAGACAACATAGGTTGTTCTGATTCTATTGCATATACATTGAGGTTCACCACCATTAACAGACAACAAGCCAAAGATAATCATTGCCCAGTAGGCAACATCAGCTGTAGCAATGAATATGTAGTCTGTTTCAGCAGCAGTCACTTTTGGTCTGCGCTCAGACTGACTGCATACTTTGTTCTCTCTTTCTTTATGGAAACATGGTTTATCTGCACCACCAATCTATCCTCTTTTTTTCTGACAACTGATTAGGAGTTTAAAGTTTAAAGAATATTCTGATTTCATTGGAATTCATTTTGGTAGGTTTAAGATACATGGGAAACAGGGACAGAGATGTTTACATATCGAAATACTGGATCATTTTTAATCAATATATTCTTCATCAATCAAGGGGATACTCTATGGTGATTAGTCAGTATCAGGAGAGTTTTTATCATCAGGTGAGCTGCATGTTCCTCCCTATCCTCCCTTGGCTGAGAAAAGAATCATATTCTAGTGAGATTTAGACAGTGAGAAAATGTATCTCCCAAAGGCACAAAAAATGTACGTAGAACTTCCTTATCTGCTCTCCACTCAAAAAAAAACCCCACTTCGTATTATTCTTTAATGTTACATTATAGCCCATTGTTTATGTCTTGAAAACACAAGTGCTTGGCTCTTTTTGGCCTAATGAATTTGTAGATAATATCTAATGAATCACGGACAAATTTATTAGATATATCTTTGATGTAGCACTAATTTATGGAATGGATTTTTCATTCATTCATTCATTTGTAATTGACATCTGCTCCAGGTTGGTGTTGGAATGGACAGCCTGCAGTGACATTCCCGGATGCTAAGTGTGGCCACAGCAGTAGAGAGAACACTGTCTGAGAGCTCAGAGACAAGGACAACCAACTAAGTGCTTTAAAAAGGTGTGCAGAGGGGCGCCTGGGTGGCTCAGCTGGTTCGGCGTCTACCTTTGGCTCAGGTCATGATCTCAGGGTCCTGGGATCGAGTCCTGTGTTGGGCTCCCTGCTCAGCGGGGAGTCTGCTTCTCCCTATACCCTTCCCCCCTGCTCATGAACTCTCTCTCTCTCTGAAATAAATATAATCTCTCTAAAAAAAAAAAAGGTGTGCAGAGAAGGCTCCTAGTAGGCAAGCACTCAGGACCCCGATGGAACCAAATACAAGGACGGTTGAAATTCTGACCTCATCTAGCTAGACTCTTTCTTTCTTAGAAAGTATTTCATCAAATTCTGCAAATTTATAATGGGTTTGTACGCTGCATGCCATTGACCTTAGATTTTTTTTCAATAAGGGTTGTATGTCGAGGGACTCAAACTGTGTACTAGAGACAGCACCAAAACATGGGCCTTCGAGGTCTGGCATAGTTCAGAACACAATCTAGTGAGGGTACCTTGGGCGACGGACTCCCCGCATAGTACTGAGGGCTGTACACAGAACAATCCCCAAGGGAAAGTATTCCTAACATAGACCTTGTAGACATGTGTATTCCTCATGGCAGAAAATGGTAGTAAAGAGGTTGGTTCGAATTAAAGTAACGTATTAGGAGAATTTTTTGACCGATAGAACGAAAGAATCCTGAGGGGAGGCTGTCTTTTTTCTAATTCATACAAAGGTGTGTTGATTATTGGCTGCTCTGGTTTTTGTTCATCTCTAACATCACTCTTGCGTCTGCCAGGAACTAGAGAGGAGGTGGCTCATCTCAGGTGGTGGTGCCCTCTATCATGAACAAACTTAGCCTGTGGAGGTGCCCCACAAACCAGGCCTAGGACAGAGGATAACAGCTCAGGAAGATCAGGGGAGGAGGTGAGAATAGTAGTAGCAGGAAAGAAATTCATAGGATGACTTTTCCCTACATCACTTGCTCTTGGTATCTTTCCCTCATGGTGAGAATTCCAGGGTCCATGCCCCATCTGCTGCATTTTCAGGGCTTCGTGCTTTCACTTTCCTTGGGTACCTCCAGCTGCAAATCAGGCAGAACATCTCAGCTAAACGAAGTGCTTGAATTTATACTCCTCAAAACAGGGACCTTTTCTCATTCATTGTTTCAAGCTGACAGCCCAGCACTGTTTTAGGCTTAAAGCAGACACTGAAAAAATTGTTACAGAGCAATGGAAATGAATACAATTATGAGGTAAAATGCACTTTTTGGAATAACCAGTTGATTTCATTTACCCCTGACTTCACTGGGATTAATATTATAAAGCAAGCAATAAGGCGAAATTGGCTTCCACAAGGCCAGTCATCTTGGCTCTGCTGTACTTCTTTTCTCCAGAAATGATGAGACGTGGCATGTGCCAAAGAGAATTTCATTTTAAGAAACTATCAAGGGATAGTTACTTAATTAGGAGGCAAAAATAAAACTTAATTCAAAGAAATCAAACCAGTCTGAGGGTTGTTATTTGTATTTGTAAAATATCCTAAAAGTAAAAACAAAATGGCAGAAGTTGAATTACAAACAAGAGAAAGTCACTTCCACTCTGGGTAATCTAAAAAAATAGACAGTAACTGAAGTAATTCTCTTACCTTGTAATTGTTCATGAGTTCAGCTAACCAGAGCTTAACGGACTTTACTGTATCTTCTCGCATGTACTTTTCAACCTCGGATCCATCACTAAAGGTCCGGTTTCCCACATGGATGGCTTGCCTCACTTGTGGGAGGGACAAAAATTTCCCATAGTAATTTTGGTCCTCAGGTTCCTGGCAGAAGGCGACATCAGAAAAATATTAGGGAACATGACTGGGTGGCAGGAACAGCATGCTGGGAAAGCTGCAAATTTCTCCTAACATAAACCATAATGAACAAGATGAGACATGACTATCAACTGGTCTCCACACTGAAATTTTTAATTTGGGGGTTCTGAGGGAATTTACATTTTACTAACAACAAAACTGGATGATCTGATATTTTCAGAGCCAGTGCCCCATTTGCATTGAAATGCTCGATTTTCCTTTCTTGGTAAGTCATCTTCTGCAATCTCTGACTCCCCTCAAGGACCCCATTTGAGGCAAAGACATGGAAAACAAAGAAGAGGTGACATTATCAAAAGCAGTTTGCTCCTTGTCTGAGGCTCTATGGGACGAAAGTCAAATGGACCACAGGAGCCAGGGTGGTGCTCTGGTGGGTTAAAAGCTGAGGCTTTCTTTTCCATGTTCTGCTGTTTATTAAAACCACACGAATAAAATAATCAGCTAACCATAACTGAAGGGGGGAAATATGCCAAGTGTAAAAACAGATGACTTTATGAAGGACATGAGACAAAAGAGAAGTTGTCCATGAGCCTTATTCAAAAAAAATGTGCATAAAAGTCTGTGATATTGTAAAGTCTATGATATTCATCATACTAAAAGAAAAAAGGTATAAATGTTTTTTTAAAAATTACAAAAGGATAAAAAAGAGTTTGAGATCAACAATTTTGTGCATCCTCAATTTTTGCTCATCTTTTGAATATATTACTTTGTAAAGGAAAAAGAAATGTGATTACAAATCCTGTTTCTCTCTTGCCTACCATACGTTTTTCTCTTGGTAGAATCTAAATCCAAAACCACAGGGTTGGCAGATTCTAATGAAATTAGCTTTATATTTTATTTACAAAATAGTTCATAAATGAGGCAGTTTTAAAAACAAGATGTATTGTCATATACACTAGATAAAGATGATACAAATCCAAATACCCACCTTGGCTCCTTTTGTTTGATTTGATTAATTCTGCACAGAAGACATCAACTTTGGCCTACTTTTATGGAAGAAAACTACTTGAGTATTTTGAGAAATATTCCAAAGGGCTTGAAGTGAGGGCCATACTAAGTGCACAAACCATCTTAAGTTAAAAGTAAGACAAAGCAAATATTTTCCTAAAGGCTTTGGCAGTTTTGATTATCCAAGCTGTTTTAAGTATAGAACAAATAATGTGGACATTTTCAAGAAACTCACTACAGGCTTGGCGTTCTGGAACCTAATACCCAGAACTGCAATCCTGGCCTCAATCCTTGACAAAAGAACTTCTGTATAACAAGCTCTACGGGGGGGCCGGGGGGGGTGTAAATTGTGTTAATCAGAGATTATTTTGAGTTATCTGGAATATCAGACATTCTTGATGGTCAGATTATAACATATACAACATCGGTGGTGGTGGGGGGGAAATCCTATAGATTAGTAGACCAAATAATGCAATACAGTGAGGACATATTTATCTAGTATAAAGTCACCTATAGTATTTCTCAAATGGGAAGAAGTCTGGTTTTGCCAAAAGTTTTAAGCAAACGCTATCATCTTTTTAAAAATGTTGTCATTACCTCGCACCGTAATATGTTGTAGTAACTAGGACATCCTGTGATATTCTGGAAGTAAGAAGAGTTATTTGTTAGGTCACCATCTAGTAGTTTATCCAGTACCTAGGTCAGGAGAGAGAGAGAGGAGGAAAACATCAGGGTTGGTAAAAACACACAGGCACTTGTCATTGCATTGATTCAATAGTTTTCTCATTCCTGCATCGTTTCATTCAGTGACCATTTATTGCACCTCTTCTCTGTGCTAGACACTGTCCCAGGCATTGAGGACACAGCCATGTGAACAAGAGAGTGCAAGTCCTCCCTCCCGGAGCTTATATCCTCGAGGGGGACAAGAAGCAAGACACTCATAGGGAAAACATGCAGTATGAAAGAGTGATAAGTGTTAAGGAGAAAACTAAAAAGGAGAAGGAGAGTAGGAAGTGTCACGGCATGTGTGGGCATGTGTGTGTGGGCGTGAGTGCAAGGTGCACCGCAGGGAGGGGGAAACACAGGTCTCACTGAGAAGGTGGCATTTGACTAAACACCTACAGGAAGGCAGGAAGCGAGCCATGCAGACATCTAGGGAAAGAACATTCCAGGCAGAGGAAACAGTGAGCCCAAAGGCCTTATAGGGAAGGGCTGACATAACATGGATCGTTGACCATTCACCCATAGTACGAGGAGAGAGGGCAGAGGCTACGGACACACCTGCCGGTGCTCGGAACTGGCAGAAGTTCCCTTGGGACTTCTGACTTTAAAAACTGGTTATCAGCGGAGGTGAGGGCAGTCAGCATGGCTGTGTGCCCTTCTCTAGTCATGTGTAGACAGGTGCTTTTAGCCAGGATGGCCGTTTGGCCAAAGGAGCTGGGCTGACCTGAGTTTCAGTTGGGTAATTAAAGAAACTGAGACTTGAAGGGTTAAGGATCATGACTTGGTAGTGGGATCAGTGGACTAGGATTGCAGGACTGTTCTCTGAATTGGTACATTCAGAGAAGTAAGCTGGCAGGTGGGGATCTGAGGCTGTGGAGTGGTTGTGAGGTTTTTTTTTTGGAGTGAGACTGAGCAGCTAAGGTCAAGAGGAGAATAAGATCATCGAAAGAGAGGAGACTAAGGAGCTGAAGGGCCAGGTACTGAAAGGATCCTTCACGCAGACACTGCAATCACTAGAAATGATGACAAGTGTGATGCCCTTGAGACAGAATGACAGTGAGGCATCACCAGGGATGGGAAGGAGAAAGCCAGAGGGTGGTAGGTAACTGTAAGGAGTGATGGGTGGGATCATGTGAGAATGTGAGAGCCACAGCTCAGTGCTTCCGGGGAGACAGAACACGATCTGAAGGCAGCAATGAGGAGCAAGAAGGATGCCCATGAACCAAGTGGTACAAAGTAGCTAAGACAGAACACAGCCCCTGCTTGAGAGGGGAAGTGACAGCAGCAGGGGAGAAGCAGGTTTTGGATGGAGCAAGAAGATGAAGGGAATACTTACAAAAGAGACTGAGAACATGGGGACGTTTTGGCATGAGGATACTGAGTCTGTAAGGGGCTCTTGTAAAAAGGATGAATTCGGCACATTTTCAAAACTAATGATCAGGTATGATTTTAGGTTTTCTTACATGGTAAGAATTCAGGACAGTAGTATCCTAGTTTTACAGGTGAGGAAGCTGAGGCACACAGAGGTTAAGTCACTTACCAAGGATGCCTCACTAATAATGTCAGAGGAGAGACTCAAGCCCAGGCCATGCCTCTCCAGCCTACATGCTCCACCCCCCACCCGCTAGCTCTCCAAGGGGCAGACTGCCATCTCTCTTAGTCTTCAACTCTTTCTGGCCATGCATTTGGGCTTAATATAAAATTCCATTATTTTATTAGATTAGTCTTCTTTACCAAACATGAAGCAACTTAATTTATCCAAGTGGCTATTGCCACAGGGCTAGAGACCAAGTATGAAAAGGATCGTCATTGTGGAAAGGTGGGGGGAGTAGTAAGTATGCTCTAGAAATGCTACGGTCACTCAGGACCACTGGCTGCTCACTGTGCACTGCATTGGGGATGCCTGGCTGAGGGGTAGAGAACCAGCCAAAGTTCTGGTTGCCAAGCTGGATAACCACACTTGGGCTGCATTTGGAGAAACAGCCATCTTTAGTCTCGCACAATGGTGGCATCTACTTGCCAAACCCTGAATCCACAGGACTCTGTCAACTCAGAGGAGGTGTCTTTTTCTAACTTTTCCACCCAGAGGCAACACCGTAGGCTAGTGGTAGTCCAGAATATAGGTGGCATTTTTTTTATCCTTAGAAATTATCTTCAACAGGGGCGCCTGGGTGGCTCAGTCGTTGGGTGTCTGCCTTCGGCTCAGGTCATGATCCCAGGTCCTGGGATCGAGCCCTACATCGGGCTCCCTGCTCCGCGGGAAGCCTGCTTCTCCCTCTCCCACTCCCCCTGCTTGTGTTCCCTCTCTCGCTGTGTCTCTGTCTGTCAAATAAATAAATAAAATCTTAAAAAAAAAAAAAAGAAATTATCTTCAACACCAATGGGAATATAAATTCTACCCTTAAGAATGGATCTGATTTCAGAAAGAGTCAAAAATCATTTCTTGTCAAACAAGTGAGGTGGGTGGTCAAGATCTGTGAGATCCAGGTTTTGGTCAAAATTTGTTTCACAGAAAGAACTTTGTGATCCAGAACATTGTCATGGTAAGGGGGACAATACAGGGCCAGAGATGGGTGCATCTTGCAGAATGTCTGAATGTTCCAGGATTTTTACAGACTGCATGGAAGTTACCACTGGAGAATACCAGGGTGGGAATCGGTGGGGGTGCGGAATGATTCCAGTCCTAGGCCTGCCACAGTCTATTACGTGGTTTTTGGCCACTGAATGCAGTCCCTCCTGGCCTCAGCCTCCTCATCAGTGAAGTGTGGATGTGTGCATGTGTGTAGGGGCAGAAGACAGTCTATAAAATTCCCTCCAGCTCCAAGTTACTGCTTTTTTATTAACTAAATCATATTAAGGGATCAGAGCATCCAACAGGCTTTATTATTTAGGCTTGTGATTTTGACATTGTACTCCCTCGGGTCTCGGGATTTCTCCAAGCCTTCTATTACATACGCTGAAACACATTTTACCACTACTGGCTTACTTTCCTAAGTATCAGCTTATCTATTTCCCTTAAAATAAAACAAAGATTATTAAGTGAACTCATCACTCAAGATATTGGATCAATGGTCACAGAGACATTGCATACCTTCCTAGGTTTGCTGTTGTTGTTGTTTTTGTCTTGTTTTGTTTTGGGTTTTTGTGCCTTTTGCTTTGTTTTCTGATGAATCTAGTTTGGGAGAGCTCTAACCTCATGGGCCATCTTCTCATTACCTCTGAATACACAAAATGACCTGAACTTTTCAACAGTTTCGTTAATCCTGCAGGTGCTCAGGCTGCTGCAGCATGCAGCAAGGACATCTTTCTGCTTTCCTTACCCCTTACAGTCCATCAGATGTTCTTCCTCTTGACATCACTTAATCCCTGTATGCTTCTTCAAAAACACATTAAATCTCTCACTTGCCAATTGGTCTCACATGATGTAACATTTGATATTAATTTTAAATTCTAGAGGTTCAATCCTTTTACCCTTTCTGCTTACTAAACAGCCTAAAACCAGACCTGAAAATAGTGTCATTGCACATCAAAGAGGGATCTTACATGTCCCCGTAAGATCCCTCTTCCTTTGCATTTACAATTGCACAGAAATTCTGAATCCGCACTCTGCAGCCACACCAGGTGTCCTGGCACAGGCAAATGGGAGGCTGTTGGCATCTTGAGGGATGGTTTCAGCTGCACATCTTGCTGCTGTCAGAATTGATGGTAAGGGCATTCACTGCTTTGGGGATTTCAGGCAGGGCGAGGCACCCCGCTTGTTAAATGGAGCTTAACCTTGTTACCCCATTCTCCCTGAGTTTGTATGTCTCCTGTTTTGATCTGAACCAGCTGACCTGCAGTGCCTAGAAGACTATTAATATCAGGCCTCAGCCTTAACAACAATAATGCCATTAGGTAAACTAGTACAGGATGTGTTCCCAAGAACAAAAAGACTAGAGTCCTCCAAACGCAATCCTTGCCTCATTTACTAATATGTGAAACATGATGGCTCTATGGTAAAGGTGGCAAACAAACAAACAAAACAACCTAAAAAAGATAAGTGATACATGATCTTTGTCTGCACTGGCAAAACCAAACCAAACCAAACCAAAAACTCAAACTCCCGTGTGTTAATATTTAGTATAGTCTCAGATTTTAAATAACTCCCCCCATCTCAACAAAAAGGGCAAGGAATAGAACCATATTATTTGATTCTCAAATTCAATTTTAGGGGAGCATTGTGACAATATTTACAAATACCAACAGCTCTTTGTAAAAGTTTCAAATCACTAGACTTTATCATCTTTGTTCCTGACACACAGAAACATGTGACATTCGTCACACACTGAGGCCACATCTCCAGCTGAAAGGCCGTGTGTGGATATCACCCTTCTGAAGGGTTTCGAGCATATGCTGAAGCATATGTATCTACTTTCTGGGTCGCCTTTCTTCTGATTTCCTTGTGATAGGGCATGCCCTTAGGGCCTACACAGCATTTAAAGAAATCAAAACGGTTAATGAAAGACATAGCTAGATAAACACTCCAAGGTGATCGCTGGTTTAAAATACAGCCAAAGTAAATTCAAAGAGACCTGGACGGTTCTTTCCTTCACTTTGAGCCCGCACTCATCCGCCTCATCAGCGTACCAGCTACACCTTCTCTAACAACAAAATGCCTGAGTACCACGATGCTTCGAGGACCCGGCTCAGATGGTTCTCATTGCTCCGGGCAACGCAGGTCCAGAACTCACTTCAAAGGCTTGAAGCCACCTCTTCTCCCTGATGTATTTCACGCAGTCATCACACTGCTTCTGGAAGTACTTTCTCTGCTTCTCATCCAACAAGCCAATTTGGTACAGGAATGTGGCGTAGCCCCCTATGATCTGAGGAGAAAAGAGAAACACAAACGACACAGGGGGAGAAAGAGAGAAGTTAGGGAAGCCCGCTTGCTTGGTGAAATAACCCTCTGTCATTTGTCAATCTCACGCGGGAATTAGCCAAGCAAGACACTTAGACATGCATGCGTACCCCACAGAACACACAAACACATACACAACACACACAATGCACACACGTACCCCAAACACACACACACTACACACATGCACAAAATACACAGAAACATCGTACACGCACGCGCATGCCCCACGTTCACACTCACATCCAACCTAGGCTGACATAAATAGGTTGACACCTTAAAACATTTGGTAAAAATGAGGTTTTAACATAATAAAATAAAATTTAAAAAATAAAAAATAAAGAAAATGAGAAAGCTTTAAATCATTAGAAAGTCAACCGGGCAACATTATTTCCCTCCATCAAGTTAGGTCTCTAAGGTCCAAGGAGCCTCCATTGGATTAAAGGGGATTTAATCTCCTTAAAGGGCAGAATGGAAAGGAAAAAGGAGACACCTACTGATTCAGGATCAGAATACGCATCTCCAAGAGCAATTCCTTTCAGGTTGATCTTCGTTGTCATCATGGGGCCGAGGGTGTGGATATAGTGTGCGAGGGCTGGTACGTACTTCCCTGCGTACGACTGAGAAGGGTAGATGTGAAAATGAACCATCGCAAATTGGTGCTATAACCATCATGTGTTTAAGCTAATTAAAATAACAATAAAAGCAGTATTTCCACATGAGACCTACCACATATTTTACCTTACACTGTAAATTCCACAATAGCACAGAGCTCTGTCTCTCACTTCTTTTGGCATCCCCAGACAGCACCGGTGATATGCAAGTCACTGGTGAGGTGCACAAAAAAATGACAAGGGGACATGGACTAGGTGAACAGTCTAATTTCCTTCCAGAAGAAGATAACATGGGCCAGCCAACACAATTCTCAATTCTGCCACCCATAGGGCTTGTCTTTCCAGAAAGCGCCATTAAAAACTTTATTAAATAATAAAGAAAAAAAAATCTCAAGGCCAAAATTAAGATTTCAAAATCTGTATGATGATGCAATTTGAAATCTACATGTATTAAAATGGAAAGTATATTTACCGGCTCCTGAAATTGTCACTTGACAATTATCTCTGTTTCCAACCTTTCCAAATACATGGTTCTTTTTCAATTTCAAAATATTTTGTGGACACAAACATTATAACTCTATTTTTAGATTATGCTGAAAAAAGCTACTATTCAGGAATATTTTAAAAATAGCTTTGTACTGGGGCGCCTGGGTGGTGCAGTCCGTTGAGCCTCTGACTCAGTTTCGGCTCAGGTCATGATCTCAGGGTCATGGGATCCCGCTCCACATTGGGCTCTGTGCTCAGTGCACAATCTGCTTGAGACTTTCTCTCCCTCTGCCTCTCCCCCCGCCCCTGCTCCCCACACTCTCTCTCTCTCAAATAAATAAATAAATAAATAAATAAATAAATAAATAAATAAAATCTTTAAAAAAATAGTTTTGCATTTTTTACATTAAAAAGCTGCCTTTTTGACATCTCCACTTATATGTCTAATATTAAACTTCATATGTTCAAAATTAAGCTTGAATCCCCAAGCCTTCCTTACAGCCCATTAGTGATAACTCTGTTCTCATTGCTTAGGCCAGAAATCATGGTGTCCTTTCTTTTTCTTTTCTTTTTAAGCAGGCTCCACACCCAGTGCAGAGCCCATCACAGAGCTTGAACTCACAACCCTGAGATGGAGACCTGAGCTGAGATTAAGAGTCAGACGCTTAACCCACTGAGCCACCCAGGGCGCCCCAGTGCCATTCCTTCTCTTCCTCTCACACCCCACAAAAGTCCATCAGTGAACCTTGTCAACTCTACCTATTCTGTCAAAATAGGTCTAGAATCCAGGGTCTTTGCACACACCCCCTTCATCACCTTGCTCCAGGTTCCGTCATCTCTTGCCTGGATTATTGCTTTAGCCTAACTGGCCCCCCTGCTTTTGTCCTTCCCCTCATCCAGTCTATTTCCAAGACATGGTCTACTAAAACATGAATCTGATCTTGCCACTCCTCTGCTCAAACCCTCTGACGACTCCCCAAGTCCCTCAGAGAAAAAGCAGGGTGCTTTTTCGGAGACATAAGTATTGCACGATCTGGTCACTTCATTAACACTGTCCCCTGCTACCCTCTCGCTCATTCCTCTCCAGGCCCTCTTGGACCAGTCATGACTGTGATCTGTACTGTTCCTTCCACAAGGGGCTTTGCATTAGCTGCTCCCTAGCTGCTCCTTCCACCTGGAACGCTCTTCCCCCAGATGTCCATATGGTTAACTCCCTTACTTGCTTCAGTGAGACCTTCTAGGGATGCTTTCCCTGGCCACCCCAACTAAAATTTTAACACCCTCCCCCCCTTTTTTTTACATTTTATATTTCCTCTCTTTTTTCATCGAATCCTTATCACTTTCCTACAAACTTTTACTTATTTATCTTGTGTAGTTATTCTCCCACCCACACTAGAATAGAAGATCCATGAACACAGGGAGATCTGTCTGTTTTGTAGGTTAGTATAGCCCCTGTGCCTGATGCTGTTTATTTGTTAGTGCTCAATACAGTTGTTGAATGAATGAGTCTTGAATTAACTTACATGCATTTGAAAAACACTAATGCATATATGTTCAAAATAGACTAAAGGCATGGAATAGGTACGTATGAGTCCGCAGACCCTTCGTAGTATTTGCAAGGCTCTGCAGGGGTCTGTAGTTCAAAGCCTGGGAGACCCCAAGAGCTCTCATTTATTCCACACCCTAATCATATGCTGCAGATGTCACTACTCCCGTATCAATATGAAGGCACTGAGGCTCAGAGCAGTTAAGCGGTAGAGTTAGAATCTAACCTGCTCTGACTTACTCCCAAACCTACACTCTTTCCAAGGTATGATAAAGTAATGTAATTTGCATAATTTATACAAGATCTCCTCACTGATGCAGCCCTCTTGTGCAACAGTAATTATTTAGGCTAAGTATTGTGCAAAACAGTGTATCCATTCATAAGCATGAGCACATTTTAGCTTCCTGGAGGTGATATAAAGATGTGTTTACATGCCTGAAATGTGCTTTGTTGCATAACAGTGCTTATACTCTCCCGTTAGGAACAATAAGTGAACATTTATCAAATGTAATTTCAGTAAGATGAACCAAAAAAACCCAAATTTCCTTGAGTAATCATTTTACTGCTAAAGATGTATCATACAGTCTTCATTTAGTGATAGTTTATTAGACAACTCTTCTGTCAAAGGCATTGTGGTAGACATTTGAGAAGACATAAAAATGAATAAAGCATAGAACTTGCGCTTGTGAAGTTAATCATTTCTTCTGAAAAAATGTTACAAAAACTTGACCGCTATGTGATGGGGTGAAGTTTGCCATTTCATGGATTATTATTCTCACATTGTGTACCTTGCCCAGCACACAGTAGGAACATAAAAACATACTTGATAAATAAATGACTAATCTGACATTACTGCTAAACATTTTTTCTCTATTGGATGTTATCATTCAAGTTGTCTTGTTATAAGACCTGGCAATAAAGCATCTCTTTAACTCTTTCTGAGATGGAAGGGCGTATATTTTAAGTTGCTCTAATGATGGTGATGACAAATTCAGGCTAAAACAGCCACATTTTTATGGCACCCTCCCCTTTGTGGCCACCATGCGTATCTGGGATAGATCCAGGCAGGAAATTAAGAAGGAACACCTACTCAATTTCTGAGCATCGACTACAAACAGGCTACCTCCCCCACTTTAAATTGAACTAATTTAAAGTTAATGTTATCTTCCCATATTTTAAAACGATGAAAACAAGGGTCTGTGCATTCCAATCATGTGCCTGGCTGGAATTCCATCAAGGCTCAGCTGCCTCCACATCTCCCATTTCTCATATCAAGCCACACTTCAGTCAATGGTCCTGGAGACTATGAGTCTGTGGTCTCCCAAGCTGGAGCTCAGCCTTGGGTTCATCTACTACATGCTTGCTAAGCTGACCATTTAAAGAAAACAAGACGGTGAGAGAGGTAGTTCTATAACCGTGTCCAAAATAGTTTCCTCAATGTTCAGTCCACATCTGCTAGCCTAACGATGATGTTTATCTCATTTTTGCTTTCTAATGACTATCACACACTTCCTTGCCCTGTGTCAGTGTGACAAATCCTTCACTGCTGTTTCCATTAATCATTCCATTGCTTGAGTGGCTCAGGCTGTCACACAGTAGACAATTATAGGATTATTTTATGGAAAACAGACACTGAAACATTATAATGAAATTTCAATTATTTTCGCTCTCCTTGTTGAGACATTTTTTTTCTGCATGATCAGACTAGTTTACTCTTCCTGAATCATTTATTTCTCAATTTAATGATTCTCTGACCACCACGAGCGCTTTAAAAGACGACCAGACAATAAATCTGATGTTCTATTTGCCCAGTTTTCTCTTTTCTGGATATATTTTAAGTAGACTAGAAACCTCTACTTTAGGGGGGAGAATTGAGGTGTGGCTGTCCGATGGATCAGAAATGAACTATATGGCCCCTTAGGACATACAACTGTAATCCTGTAATTTTATGAACTCTTGCTTCTTTTGTTCTGAGTTCTGTCTGTAACAACGACGAGAGCAACAACCACCACAACTCTCGGCCCTGTGGTCTCTCTGATCTCTTGCTGGGGCTCATCAATGTGGGCAGCAGCTGGGCAACGAAGCTCCTGACGTCTATGAATTAACACTAACCTTCTACCATCGGATCAGACTCTGGCCTCATAAAAGCTCAGAACAGCATCAAAGTGATTATAAAAGGAAAGAGGAAAAGTGTGGCCAGAAACAATCTGAACACATTATTATTTTAGAATTCAGCAGTGACCCTCAAATGAGGAACTCAGCCAGACAAACGTATTTATCTAACACAATAATTCAAACTAGGTTAGTGATCGACACGTCAGGATTTTCGTCTGTCCTTGTTACTCCTTTCTAGTATTTAAAGAAGCTTCCAGCTGCAATTTCCAGCACCGTTGTTGCACGGCTCATTTTCCCCACAGTGACCCTATTTTGAGCTCGCCTCTGACGAGAAGGCCCAGAGATATTAGGGTGTGTTTGTATATGCTTGCATTTGCTGGGGCTTACAGAAGCAGTAAGCCTCCAGTTTTCCTCTTACATCACACAGATCTCAGAATTCAGTTCTCAGTCTTTTATTTCCCCCCCGAGAGAAAAAGGTCTCCACATCACAGCTGAACAGTGGTTTCAAATCTCCGTCTGCAATCTTTCTGAGTTCTTAAATGATGTTTGGAACAGCCTAATGGAAATCACGTTAGGAGCATATTGTACTTGTAAAAATAGTCTAGAGAGAATGTAATGCTTGTTAATTATCCAGATGTGTAAAAGCACAATGAAATTGGACTTAAAGAAACTTGTAATTGTGTATTGCATCCGAAGCTCTCCCTTCTTACATGTTTCCGCAACGACTTACTGTACCCCTGCCACCCGGTTACTTTTAAAGGAGGAAAAAAGCTTTCATATCTAAAATCAAGTTTCAATCAGCTCTCCCAGAAGAAAAAAAAATCGTGTCAGAGGATAAGACTCTAATGGAAACAATGTC